TTGTTTATATTTTAAATTATGAGTTATTTAATTTAAATGTATTTATATTTAAGAAAAAAAATATTTTAATTCTATTTTATAAAGTATTTAAAAAGTAATTTAGTAAAGTTTTTGAGGCAAAAAAATAATTATAACTGAAATAAAAAAAAAAATCTAAGTTAATAAATAAATATTAAATCGTAATATATAATCGCATGTTATATATTAAAATTGAAAAATCCTATTACAAATAACCAAAAATTGGCAATTTCATGTTAAAAATCAGAAATATTATATTAAAATCAGAAATATTTATTAAAATCGAAAATATTATATTAAAATTGCCAAAAAATCAGACAGCCATATTAAAAAGGACAAAAATCTGATTTTTATTTATTTGACCTGTGTATATTTGTAGAAAATACGTTATAAACGTATGAATTTTAATATACTGTAGAATAATATGTATACCGTATCCTTTATTTACAATATTTTTGTAAACCGTATACAAAATACTGATATACAGTAGAAATGATATACGTTATAGATGTATGAATTTAATATACCGTATCACACAGTATGTTTACCGTATACTTTATTGTATTTTTTACTAAGCACATTTTGCGAACAGTATACATTATACTAATATACCGTATGTAAAAATGCAAACTGTATCAAAAATACGTATATACAGTGTAAAAACCATATACATATTTTTTATAAGGCCGATATTCCGTTCTTTATCAAAAAAAACAACTTGATGGCCTACTTCAAGAAATTTGAAAACATTACCTCCTGCCGCCTCTTTTCTAAACCCAATGCTAAAGTTCAACAAACCCGCATTGTATATAACAATGCTGATTCAATTGCTCGGTTTACTGATCAATGGGCTGTATACTGTTTTTTCATCTGCCTCCGCATTACCCCATGTCATTATATCATAGAGCAAAAAGCTGCGCGTTATCAATACGTTGCCACTCTCACTTAACTTCCCCTAATGTTAAGGATATTAACCTTGCTCCTCTTACCCGAAATCTTGGCGCTAAAGCTGTCAATGTGCCGCTCTCCCTTAACTCTTATAAACCCAAAAGATGGGTTTATATCACCTTCAATTCCCAAGAAACCATGGATGCTGCTATAGAACAAACTGTCAGCTTTCAAGGCAAGGTGCTTTCATGGTCCTCCCCCGACAATACTAATAAACTTTGCCACAGATGTGGTAAGTTAGACTGCGCTCCCAATTTTTGCCCACTCAAACAATCCAGAGGTCGCACTTGTACTCGTGATCTGGTGATCAAACTCAAGGAACGCTTCAATATTAACCAACCTTGTCACTCTAGCTCTAATGCCAATACGCGCTCTCACTTCAGATCTCGCTCAAAATCCAGAGATCAATCAACCTCTATTTCGAGACGTGGCAATAACATTTCACAGAACAATAATAAAAATAATGTTAATAGTCAGGCTAATTCCAATCCCAATAACTCCCAACGTGCTCGACATAATAGTAAAGAACGCTCAGTCTCATTCTCCTCTTCTTCCCATTCTACAGCACGTCCATTACCTCGATAAACTCCTAATTCTGCATTATCTCCTGATGATGCTAATAACATTTTGAACCTTTTACGTGAATTACAATGTGAAGTTGCTAACTTCCATAAGCGCATCTCCGCCCTGGAACTTGCTGACCAAAGGATGACTCGAATTGAATCTCACCTTGGTTTTGACCCGTTCCCTACAAATGACAACCCAGATTTGGATCTAATGCAAGAGGATGTTCCTATATCCCATGTCCCACTTAATATCCAGCCTTCAGCTAAATCCTCCTCACCTCCTAAAAGTATTTTAACGCGGTCTCAACTACCTTCAATTACCATTGCTTCTACTGCGCCGCACTCCTCTTCTCTTTCCCCTAATGCTCCTCTTTTCACTCCCACCTCCTCCACGCAAGATGAAATCAACGATCTCAAAAATAGTAGAGTCGTTATAGAAAGTAAATTGGACCAGCTTACTGGCCATATCAAACAATTCATTAGCTCCATTGGTGGTGCTTTCTTAGAACAAGCTGATTCAGCTTCTTCTATTTAATTTTCTTCTTTTCGATTTATTTTTCTGACTGTTTTATCATTGTGCTTTAATGTCGGACTTTAATTATGATACCTTTGTATGAAACCCTTCCAACCCGAATCTTGTTACTGAATTTTTTTTACATGAATCTTTATTTTCTTCTTCCAGTAACAATTCTCCTATCCCTAACTCTTTTAATATTTCCTCCTTTAATGTTAATGGCCTTAAAATGCATGGTCAAACTAAAATAGAACAACTTTCCACTTTCTTTTCCCTTAGACATATTTCTTTTGGTAGTATTGTTGATATTCATCTTCATCCCAAACAAATGAAGTTTTTATCCAAGCGTATTTCTAATTATACTGTTTTTTCTTCAGACTTGGATACTTCTAAACAAATTCTTTCTTCTGGTGGTGTCTCTCTTTTTATTGATAATTCACTTGCTTGTCATGTACAAGATTTTAAATCCCATTCTTCGCGTTTGCTCTCTGTTGATTTATATTTTAAAGGCAACGTGAAATTACGTATACAGTCGCCACTGGTTATAACAAACCTGTTTGTACCGAAAACTTGTTATAGTGAACTAAGTTTTACAGAACCAATTTTTTTATAGTAAATTACATTGGATATAACGAAATCACATAATAAATTGCTATATACCACATCCGAACTCATTATAGCTAGCCCAAATATATTAGCTGCATATTTAGTATACTGAACTGTCACGTGACTTATATGGCTAATATAAAAGATAATCATGTCACCATTACGTGTAAATACTTTTTCCAATTTCCGTTAGTCTGAATCGGATAAATTTCTTCAAAAGTTCCAATAATGCTGACCAAAAAAAAAGAGTTAGTCTTTCTGCTAAACAAAAGCGCGAAATCTGTGAAATGAAAGAGAAAGACCCAACACTCCAAAATGTAGAACTTGCGCAAAAATATAATGTTGGGAAGTCTACAATTACCAACATTTTAAGAGAAAGTGACCGTTGGCTTACAATTACAGAAAGCAAAGAGAATACTAAAAAATTTCGCAGACCAAAATGGCCACAACTGGAAGGTGCACTTGGTTTATGGGTTGACAACGCACTTAATACTAAACAAGATATTGATGGTAATATCTTAAAGGTAAAGGCAAGCTATTTTGCTGAACAGTTTTCAATAGAAGATTTTTATCATTCAGAGGGTTAGTTAGGTGGCTTTAAAAAATGGCATGGTTTGCGTCAATTTAAAAAGCAAGGTGAAGCTGAAAGTGCTCCTTCAGCTGAATCAATAGAAAGAAATCGTTTTGCTTTACAACAGCTCCTTGCACCTTACAACCCTGAAGATATTTGGAATGGTGATGAAACTGGCCTATTCTGGAAGATGGAACCTTCTAGAGTTTTGGCACGTAATTCTCTATCAGGGCATAAAAAAGAGAAATCCCATGTTACAATATTTTGTGCAACAAATGCAACCAGCAGTGAGAAAATGACGCTAACATTTATTCACAAATACAAAACTTCTCGTGTTATGAAAAACATTAATTATAAAAACCTTCCAGTTTATTACTTTTGGAATAAAAAAGCATAGATGCAAGTTAGCATTTTTAATGAAGTTCTTCTTAAACTCAATGAAATAATGAGACGAAAAAGACGAAAAATAATTTTTTTAATTGATAATGCACCAGTACATCTTATTTTAGATGAAACTCGAGAAAAGTTGGATAGTATAGATGTGAAATTTCTTCCACCAAATACTACCACTAAACTTCAGCCTTGTGATGCGGAGATCATTCATTCATTTAAGTGTCATTACAAATGACTTTTCATTCAGAATAGGATTGATACATATGATGATGTGCAGGACGGTATTGTGGAAGAACTTGCAGATTATACCATTTATGATGCTTTACAGAATGCGGCTGAAGCATGGTCAACAGTATTTTCTCAAACAATTTCAAACTGTTAGAAGAAAACAGGTATTCTTCCACCAAGTATTAACAAAACTGGAGAATTTCCTGATAATGATTCAGCATTTTCTGATGATAGGTATGCAAAATTATATAATATAATTTTTTTAAAATTAACATTAACTTCTATTTTTCTTAGTTTTGATATGGATATTGATGAACTTGAAGCGTTAATTTCCAAGCTTCCAAATAATGATCTTAATACGTATGAATACCTTAATGTTGAGGATGAGATGCCGAAAGGTGGGCTTACAGATTTTGAAATAGTTGATACTATACGAAATGCAGATAAGGAAGAGGAAGATATGATGGATGAGACCGAATTTACACCTATATCGGAAAAAGTGAGTCCAACAGATGCAGAAAAGGCTATGAATAAAACTATAAAATTTTTGTATGAACAGAGACCAGAATTTGGTGATGTAAATGAAGAGTTAAAGGTTTTAAGAAAATTACATAAAAAAGTAAAACTTTTAGTTGTAAATAATCTTAAACAGCTTGATCTTCATTACTTCCAATATAATAATAATGTTTAAATAGCTGGTTAATACTTATAGTCGTTAATAAAATAATATTGTAGTACATCGCGCATTTTATTAACTTTAATTTAAATATAATGGTCATGTGCAGCTAAAACTATTGGATAAATTTATATACCGAACAGTTCGGTATATAACATAAATATTATATATCGAATTCGTTATATACTGAACCAAATCTCTTGGAACAGCTGGTTCGTTATATCCAGTGGCGACTGTATTTGTTATTTATATCCCCCTCCTGCTGAAAGTGTTTTGCGCTCTGACACTATTGATTTGCTCATTCAACAACTTCTTCTTACTAAACAAGCTGGTTTTTACCATGCTGTTTGTGGTGATTTTAATATGCATTTAGATAAATATTATCCTATCTATTTTAATCAACCCCAAATTGCTTCTCAACAAATTCACCGATTATTTTATCATCTCCTTTCTCATGGATATGAAGACTATACTCCTATTAATTCTTCCAGTTCCCTAGGCACCTTTCATCGTAATGATCAAATTACGCGTGTTAATTATGTATGGTCCTGCCCTCTTCTCAAAGGATTCGCTTTGACTGCATACATCTTTGATGCTCAAGACATTTGCACATCTGATCATAACCCTGTCATCACATATTATGATATGTCTTTACTTTTCACCTCCACCAAATTGGCTCACGCTCGACAACTTAAGCGCCAGACTTGCCGCATCTTCAAATTTGATTCTGTTACCGATTCTCAATGGACAGAATTCACTGACAATGCTGATGTTCTATGTGACGTCTTACCTTCAACCTTCTCGTCCTGGCATATCAATCAAATGTGCAAATATCTTCAATCACGAATCCTCAAAGCTGCCAATACAACTCTACCTTCTTCTACAGTTGGCAACAATTATACTCCTAAAATTCCTAAGGAACTGGAAACATTAACTCAACATTATCGGTTTTTAAATCGCCTAATGCATTCAATACGTCTATTATGTAAATATCCTTTGACTTATTCTGCTGCTCATGAACATAAGTGGTCTATTCATTTAATTAGACTTCAAAATATTCTTCAATTATACAAGAAAGTGTTTGCTTTCATTCCCACTTTACCTTTGTCTCTTTTATCATGTCGACAAGATGATTTCAAATCACTCCTTGATGTATTATCCAATATTTTAAAATCCTTACGGGGATATCATTTATTTCAAGAAAAAGAATTTCAAGACTCCTCTATCTGTGCTCGTTTGGATGATAGAAATAATAATTTCGAAACTGACCTTTCTTCTTTTATTGATTCAGCACTCTCTCGCACTCGTCATCGAATTACTTTGAATCGTGTCTTTCTTGACCATCCTACTCGTCCTCAGCTACTTACTAATCCTAAAGACATAGATGATGCTGTTGTTAACCATTTCCAAAACTTTGTGCCAATTAAATCCACTCCTCTTACCTCTCTCGATGTATTACCCGATAAATGGTCTTCGGCCTATCAACCCATGGCTGATGTATTCTCCTCCATCTATGATTCTTTAATGAATCCCTTACCCTTGATGAATGGTTATCTACCGTATCTTCTACTCCTAATGGCAAAGCCCCTGGTCCTTCCATGATTACTTATGAAATACTCAAACATTTTGGACCTCGTACTTCGGATTTACTTTTAATTTTAATCAAATCCTGCCTTTTCAAAGCTGATATTCCCGACTTATGGTGACAAGCAATGGTCTTTCCCATCCCCAAACCTCACGAATGGAAATTTCAATTAAAAAATACTCGTCCTATCACCTTACTTGAAGTGATTAGAAAATCTCTCGTCAAACTTTTTTATAATCGTCTTTCTACTATTTTGGCATCGTACAATGTCTTAAAAGGTGGTAACTTCGCTGGTCTCCCTGGTGGTTCATGCCGCGACCCTATTATTACTCTGGAATTCATTATCCATAATGCCGATGTCAACAAAAATCTACTTTGGATACTTTCTTAAGACATATCCAAAACTTTCGACTCTGTCAACTAAGATTGCTTGTCTAAACCTCTTCAAAATCCTATGATTAGTTTCATCAAAATTTTACTATAGATTTATTATAGTTTTGGCAGAGTTTTGGCAGTTTCGGCATTTATAATAAGTTTTGGCAGTTTCGCCTTTTTCCAAAGTTTCGCCAGTTTTTTAATATAACTTTAATATAGTTTCGGCAGAATTTCACTTTTCGGCAAAACGCCATTTTGCCTAAACCTCTAGGTTTCAGCAAGCAACCTTACTGTCAACCTAACAATGTTACATTTCGCTCTCGAACATATACGCCTTCCAGCTTCTGCTGTCAAGTTTATTCTTTCACTTTTTATGAAACGCACTAATAGCGTTTTCACTGCTTATGGATCTACTCCTGCCTATAGGGTTCGCATTGGTATTGACCAAGGCGAAGTTATTTCTCCTCTTTTATGGGTTATTTATATTGATCCTTTACTTACTGTATTGAAGAATGAAATGATGGACCCTTATGTTCTTTCAGCACCCTCTTTAATTGCTTCACAAGGTTTTTCCCCTGATCTTCGTGTCAACAATTTAGTTTTTATGGATGACTCTACTCTCGTCTTCTCGTCAAAAGCTGGCATGGAATCTATGTTGTCTATTACAGAAGAATTTTATCAGATTAACAACACTTCTACTAATCACAACAAATATGTGTTAATTACCAATTCATTGCCTTTATCCTCAAATTCTACTCTTTCCCTGTTACGTTTAATTTGGATTTATCCTCTTTAAATAGCATTCCTTTTATTACTATTACTTCAATTTCTATGACAACTTCTTTTCGTTTTTTAGGTGTTTGGTTTAACATTAAAAGCTCACGTGATTTCGTCAAGAAATAACTCAAACACGAATATAATTCTTTTGCCGCAACCATCTGACCTGCAAAGCTTTCTGCCAAACAAGTTGTGTATTTACACAATGCTGTCCTTATTCCAAAACTTGAATATCGGATGTAAGTGACTCACTTGTCTGAATCGGACTGTCACCTTATAACGAGAAGTATATGATCTGTTGTGAAACATAAAGCAAATTTTTCTCGTTCTCTTCCCAACCCTATTTTATTTTTATTTCAAGTATTGGGCTTGATTAATTTGTTTGCTCATCAACGACAATGTCATATTACTAATTTATTTTTAATAGCTAATTCTTCCTTTTCTTTTATTCAATCTCTTTTTATTTATAGATTGAGTTTAATTCAATATAATTTTTTAATTCCTATTTATCAAATTTTAATTAAAGAATGGTCTATATGGTCTTCTCTTTTTTCTTTTAAGAAAGATTATATCGCTTGCACTATCGCTCTCCTGAACTCTACCCTTTTCGTTTGCTTCATACTCAACTTTCGAAGCTTCTGAACTTATCCCTGTTAGAAGAACGCGTTCCTCTATTTGAATGCATGACGCCAAAAGTCTTTAAAGCTTATTTGCCTATCCTGCGTAAATGACAATTGTTTTACTTATCCCAACTTGTTACTCCACAAGGCACCCATTTAATTTCTTGGAAAGCTTATTATGACAACTTGGTTGGAAGACGTAACCCTGGCCATACTCCTTATTGGTACAGATATCCAACAATCTACCACTGTTCCTAACTCTAATAATCGTTTACTTGACGATTATATCACTATGCCCACAAATGACTCTTCATTTTATGAATTGGAACCTTGTCTTTCCTCTCCTTTTACCACTAAAAATTGGATTGTCACGTTGGATGAATTCGGTTTTCCCGTCTTCGGTAAACAACTTTTGGTCCAAGCAGGCCGTGGCACTTACTCCATTGTCCATTGGATTTCCCCCAACTGTGAATCCTTGCCTGGCGATCTCATTAAACTTTCACCTTGCTCTGGTTGTGCTGCTCATATCCCTTTACCTCCTTCTAAAAAACGGAATGCTGATTTAACTCTTTGTACACCAACGGTCTCTCTATAACATTCGCTCATTTTATCTACTACTAATGAATGAATTAGAAGTAATACCTCTATAGTGACTTCCCCTTTTACTTGGACTGATATTGAAGATGGAGTCCGCCTCTATTATAGCAGATTGGACTTTGCTTCTGAATTTTCTCCTGCAGATATTATTGCTGCTCTTGCTGCTGTTGAATCTTCAGCTGCTGCTATTTTTGCAAACTCCCCATTAGTTATTTCTGCAGAATCACGTTATATCTTTTTTACTGATGGGTCCCTTATTAATTTAGGTACTCCTAATGTTTTTATGGGCTGGTCTTGGATGCAAATTGTTCCTGATGCTGGCTTCCCTAACTCTATCGCTACTTACGTACATGGCATTATTCAGGATAATCCCTCTTCTTCTCGAGCCGAAGCTGCCGCTATTTACACAGTTTTAACCATTTTTCCCCGTGACTCAGAAGTTACTATTTACACTGACTCGCAAACTGCCATCGATGGCCTTCGAGGTTGCTCTTCTTTTGTTTATTTGAATAGCCAACTTTATTACAAGACTACAAACTTTAAGCTTTGGGCTATTATTGAACGAACCATTCTCTCCAAGAACTTGACTGTACTTATCGTTAAAGTTAAAGCTCACTCTGGCAATTATTTAAACGATTTACCGATTTCTTGGCCAATACTGCTCATACTGCCTCATCCAGCATTTTGATTTCTGATTTGGACCTTGCTTCTGCTCGCGACTTTGTCTTGACTTATGATAATGACGTCATCTGCGAATCTAATCTGAGACACCTTCTCAAACAATACTATCAAACGCAGTTGATGCGTAATTTATTACAATTAACGCGATTTCACTTTACTTCTTTATTCTTAAGTAATATAGATTATCTTGTTGATTGGGACCTTACTTGGTTTGCTTTGAAATTCAAACCTTCTCATAACGCATCTTTCACGTATGAACATGCTTCACGACATCATACCTTCAAATTTAAACTCTTCTTAGATGAATTACCCACTCTAGAAAAGCTTAAAAGAACTTGACCGGACTTATACATGGACGAATTAACTTGTTATTCCTATAT